ATTTTCTCGGCCAAATTAGCAAACAATCATTATAATAATATATTACTTGTGTTTAGCCGTTTTTTGTTTTGTTTTGCACATCTTATGACATACCGATGTTTAACTTTCTGTCTCGTCCACATCCCAGTTCAATGTCACGAGAGCATCGTCATCCAGAAAGGTGAAGGTCAAGGCCACGGATCCGAGAAGCACGAAGACAACTACAACAACAACGACTACAACAACGACTACAACAACGAATATCACAACGGTTACGACAACGACCACGACAACTCCAAAGCTGGATTCGATCTGCCAAACCCCGACTTCCCTAGCGCAGGCTACATTCCTTACAAACCCAACTACGCCAACTACCTGAGAAATTACTACAAATCCGCCTACGAATCTCGCTCCCGATACAACCAGCACCAAGGAGAGTACAAGCTGTACAGGAACGAATACGAGCGTCCCGACTACTCCCCACGATACGTCTCTCACCCCAGCCCCTTCCCTCTCCGTAACCCATACCGTCTGCCATCCAGGTGAGTTGGTAAAGTTCTAGAAATTTTTAATTCCCCCCCCCCCACCCAATCGATGCTATTTAGGTCATTCGCGAAGTAGGGTTCGAACCTCAGCTCGATCCCACGCTGTGTCCTTGGGAAAGGCACTTTACCCGAATTTCCCACTTGGTTCGGGCCTTTCGGAGATGGAGATTTTTTTACTTGGCCCAGAGGCACAACGCATTTTGATTGGTCTATCGCCTTCGGAGACGTCCCCGGAGAGATACTGTGGCGGCAGACATCGGCGATCATGGTTCTCCATTCATTCCTTTGCTCAGATGCTCTTAAAGAAAAAGCTACTTTCCCTTGATCTTTCCCCGTTTCTCATTTGTTAAGGTCCCCTAAGCAGATTGTTCTGGGCCTACCCCAGTTTACAATTTAAAAAAAAAATTAAGTCCACCTCGTGAGGAGAGATGACACTATTTTTAACAGAACCGAGTTCACAACTTGATCACCAACTCCCAGACAATCTAAATTGTAAAGATAGGGCATTAAAACATTTGAATTGGAAGAGTACAGGAGAAACATGCCGCTAGCCACTAGTTTACATCTGTTGCCTTTATCTGTTTCGACCAATAGTTTGGGTTGGATCCATTCTGTCGAACCCCCC